TCTCAAAAATAAATTTAGTAATAATAGGCCTACAGTTCTACATATGCAGGCAAGGCCATATGCGGGCTAGGCTGCATAGAAACCGGGCCGATATGATAGTTTGATTTTAGGGAAAATTATGTATATCCGTTGTAGTTTATGTTGTTATTAAAATACCAAATAGTTTTCGTTATTACTGGAATGTCCGTTTTTTACTTCATAGCAAAAAAATTTTAAAAAAGACTTTTTTACCCTTTTTTCGGTTTTTGAACAACCAAAAATAGGTAGAAGCTTGGAATTTGCATTTTTATTTTCGGTTGTGAAACAACAAAAAATGTCTTGTCTTTGGTTGTTGAACAACTGAAAATAGGACTGCATATTCCAGAAGCTTGTTGGAATATGCAATCTTATTTTCGGTTGTTCAACATCCGAATATACCTTATTTTCGGTTGTTCAACATCTGAATATGCCCTATTTTCGGTTGTTCAACATCCGAAAATATCATATGAACAACAAAAAATAAGACAAAACCTTGGAATTTGCATTCTTATTTTTGGTTGTTCAATAACTGAAAATAGGACATTTTTTTTATGTTGAACAACCGAAAATAGGACATTTTCGGATGTTGAATAACCGAAAATAGGACAATTTCGGATGTTGAACAACCGAAAATATAACTGCGTATTCCAGAAGCTTAAACGAGCCCCTTTATTTTCGGTTGTTCAAGAAATAAAATTAGCTTATTTAGGGTTTTGAACAACCGAAAATCTAACCATTTTCGGTTGTTAAAAAATCGAAAAGGGTAAAAAAGGCTGTTTTAAAATTTTTAGTTATGAAGTTAAAAAAATCGACATTATAGTAATAACAAAAACTATTTGGTATTTTGGTTATAACGGATATATATATATATATATATATATAATTTCCCCTTGATTTTTATACTCAATCCCTTTTATCAAACTTTTTTATTTTATCCAAAGTTGCACCTTGAAGGTATGACGTTTAAATTTTTTATTCATAATCATACTTCAAACCTTGGTCTAAAGTTTAAAGTTTTTTTTACTCATAATCTCAATTTAGAGGTTGAAAGTCTAAAGTTTTTCCGAAAATTAATTCCAGACCTTCAAGTTTTGGTCCGAAGTTGATATTTGGAAAAAAAAAATTTAACAAAATGTCTTGAACATTAACTTCGAATTGTGAAGGTTTGAAGTTGATGTGTGGAACAAAAACCGACAAGACCAACTGCCTACAAAAGGTCGCAAACATCAATTTTAGATTTCGAAGGTTCAAAGTTGATGTTTGTGAACAAAAACTTACATCAGATCTTGAAAGTTCGAAGTTAATTTTTAGAACAATGTATAAGTAAAAAATATTAAACTTGGGACCTTCAAAGTCTGTAGGGGCAATTTGGGAAAAAAATAGGTATGAACGTAAAATAAAACCTTTTAGAATATTTTTTTAATAACAATGATTCCGAAGGATATTAGGAAAAAATCTTCTTTCTTTTATTATAATCTCCCATAAAAATTGATGATTTAAGTTATATCTAGGGTTGCTTTTGCTTAAGGACCTGGTTTCTATATGGGGCAAGCCCGCATATGTAGAAATGAGGGGCCTTTTAATAAATCTATTTTTTAGATGGATTTTAATACTCAATTTTCTAAGACATGTAATCTCTAACATGGAGATCATGAATATGAAAAAATAAATAAATTTAAAAAATTAAAATAATAATTCTAGTAAAAAAATATTTGGACCATTAGTTTTTATTGTTTTTAGATGAAACACCTAGTTGCATCCATCTTTAAGATGGATGCTTTACACTTTTTGAACCGCATATGTAGAAATGCAATCCAGCCCGCATGAAACAATTTTGATGAGCTGCATGTTAGCCTTTGCATTGTGCACATGATGACTAAACCCAAGCCTTTCTCAAACACATGATACCTCACTTCGTAAAAGATTCATTTTCAAGATAATTGTTGCTTGGATACATTTCTTTAGAAACTCTCCTTTTCAAAGTTTAATATTACGTTTATAATGTTTTTGGGGTTTTTTTTTTCCCAAATTGTGGAAATTTTTTTTTTTTGTATACTGAGACCTTCAATGTCCCAAATTGCCTTATTTCAAACCCACCTTCAAAATCTTAAATAAGGCCCGTCTTATTAAAAAAAAAAAGGAAAAAGAAAAAAAAGGATTTATATGGTTCTAAACTTCACATAAGACCGTCAAATTCTGAAATAGGTGAAATTTGAAAAAAATAAATAAAATCCAAAAAATGAGATATACATGTACTATCAA